TCATCAACGGCATCATTATCAGCACCAGTACCATCATCAGAATGGGCATCATAAGCTGTATCGCCCTTGTTGCCGTGGTCGACGCCGCCGCCATCATCATCATCATCATGGTCAGCATCATCACCATCATCATCATCAGTATCATCATCAGTATCGTCATCACCACCACCACCATCATCCGCCTCTTCCTCGTCGTCATCATCATCATCGTCATCATAATTATTGTCTTCGTCGCCGCCGCCGCAGCCGACGTCATCATCATCACCATCATCATCAGCAACATAATCGTCATCATCAGCAGCAGCATCTCTATCATCACCGACATCAGCATCATCACTACCACCACCATCGTGCGCCTCCTCATCCTCCTCGTCGTCATCATCATCATCGTCGTCGTCATCGTCGTCATCATCATCAGCATCAGCAGGATCTTTCTCATCATCATCAACATCAACATCATTAGCATCGTCATGGCCATCAACATCATCACCACCAGAATCGTCATCATCGGCATCCTCATTATCATCCTCAGTATCAGAATCAACATCATCAACATCACCACCACCATCATCATCATCATCAGCATCATCAGCATCATCATCATCGTCAACATCTCCATCATCGCCATCATGATAATCAACATCATCATCCCCATCCTCCTCCTCCCCCTCGTCCTCCTGTTCTCCTCCTCCTCCTCCTCCTCCTCCTCTTCCTACTGCTCCCCCTCCTGCCCACGTACCGAAAGGGGCACGAGGACCAAATAAGCAGTCGGGGCAAAGGCCTCGGGAGCAACCTCCAGGCGTGCCTAAGTTAGTGCCGCTCAGGCCAGCGGAGAGAAGGCACGCTGGTCCGAGTCGCCTGACCGCTCGGCACTGGCAGCGAGTGGAAAGGGCGGGGCCACCAGCGGTGATTCGTCGTTCTCCCTCCTGGGTCAATCCACCACCTGCCTCAAAGCAGTGCTTTGCCACAGGAGCCAGGTGCTTTGAAAGCACCTAGCTCCTGTGGCACGACGAACGACAACTCGGCGGCGGACGAGGATGAGCTACGCTGCATTGGGGCCCCAGCCGAAGCCTCAGCTCCGGGGGTAGGTGGGGAGGAGAAGCCAGCATGGAGGTACCAAGCCTCTTCTTCAACCGCTTCTTCAAAGTCGGAGGGTGAACGACAGCGCTCGGGGGATCAACCTCCGAGACGCGCTCAACCGCCCTGTGGCTAGGCTCGGGGTGCACTCCTCGCTTGATCTGGGACCAACCATTCTCAGCCCCAGATTCCTAGCCCGATCCCAACCACAGCGCGCTTTACATCGAAGGCAGAGCATCAGCGCTGACGAGACAGCGCAAGAGAGGGCAGCGCACTTGCGCTGGCAGGCCGACGAGAGGTCCACGCCGAGCCTGGACCCGCCCGAGCACTTGCCCAGGGCCGGTGGTGGAGGAGGAGGAGGAGGAGGAGGAGGAGGAGGAGGAGGGAGGAGGAGGAGGAGGAGGAGGAGGAAGAGGAGGAAGAGGAGGAGGAGGAAGAGGAGGAGGAGGAGGGAGGGAGGGAGGAGGGAGGAGGGAGGAGGAGGAACCCGGTGCCAGGGGGGGCCTACACTCAGGATGTGCTTCGGGGGCTGGCCGCCCCTCGGAACAACAAGGCAAGTCCCACCGGCCCTCTGGGCGCAGGTGGACTAGGGAGTTTCCTCTTCCAACCCCCCTCTTCCCCTTCGGGGAGGGGTTTGCCCCTCCCCCCTACCCCTCCCCTGGACCTGGACGGGGCGGCCCGCGACGAGGTGTCAGAGGGTACTTTTTCGCCCAAGATGGCTCCAAGAGGCCATCAGAGAGCCCAAGATGACCTCCAAGATGGCTCAAGATAGCCCAAGATACCTCAAGTCGGCTCGAAAAATGCTCCAAGAGGCCCCGAGAACGCTCCAGGACGGCTCCAAGACGACTCCGAGACCTTCAAGGAGGCCTCCAAGAAACCGAAAATCCTTCCAAAACCTAATGAGAATATATGTGTTTTGCTTTCTCGCCTTTTCGCTCCCGATGGCCATCCGAGGCCTCAAGATGGCTCCAAAAGGCCCCAAGAGGGCCCCTGGACCCGAGAGCGCCCCAAGAGCGCCCCAAGAGCGCCCCAAGAGCGCCCGAAGAGGCGCCCAGGAAACCTCTCAGAAGCTCCCAAGAGACCCCCAAGAGGCCTCCAGAGAATGCCCCAGGCACCCAAGACGCTCAAAGACGGCCCTGGGTTCGCCAAGATGCCTCTTCTTCGTCCTCTTCCTCCTCCTCCTCCTACTCCTCCTCCTCCTCCTCCTTCTCCTCCTTCTCCTCCTCCTCTTCCTCTTCCTCGTCCTCCTCCTCCTCCTCCTTGTCCACTATCGTTTCCTCCTTCCTCCTCTTCGCCCTCCTCCTCCTCCTTCTCCTCTTTCTCCTTCTCCTCCACCATCTCCCCCAGTTGGGGTATCGGACGGCTTCCGCTGCCCTTCGTTACTCTGCATACTCCCCGACTCCCCTGATCACCTCAACTCCCCTGGGCATAGTTCCTGGATGAGCTGATGGGGATCTTTTAGTCAGCGGCCGCGGGCGAGCGCGCCGGAGGCGAGTCCAGTCAAAAGCGGGCCACGCAAACGACCAAATTAACCTAAAGCAGCGGAGGCCCGGCAGCAAGCGGGGCCTCACGTAGAACCTCAGCGGAGGACCACCGAGTGGAGGGACTGGCTGAAACTGAGAAGTACTGCCAGTGTGCAAACATGCAGAACGTCGGAAACGTCAAAGTCGGTAAGAAACACGACCAGGGACAGAACCGTGGAATTAGGGCAAACGCACACTCCGAGCAACTGCGAAAGTACCAGGGTGGCCGCAGCCAGAAGACCGACAGTCGGAAGTCGAATTGAAGCCCTGAAGACGCGAGCGCTGGCAAGCTGCGAAGAACCGGGGTGGCCGAAGCCGCGTGGCCCGACGGCAGCGGAGCGCACGCGCCCGAGAAGCAGCAAAAGCTGCCGCGCGACCACAATGGCGCGGGGCACCGCGACAAGTGCGCGAGGCGGCGCCAGTAAATGAAGGGGCCCCAGGACACACACAAATGAATACACACAAATAAAAAGATGCCCCATATTTTCCTATACTTTCTGGGGTTTTGTCTTCCCCACCACTTACCATATTTTCCCATATTTTCTGGGGGATCGACGATGAATTGTGTCTGTGTGTGTTTGTCCCTCCTGAGTAGAGTCGCACGCCAGAAGCCCCGAGGAGGGGCGGGGGCGGCCCGCAGTCTGCACGCCGCGAGCGGCGACGGGCGAGCACCGACGTGACGCGGGAGCCCGCGGCAGAAACCAGGGTTGCATCCGCGGCGTAGGTTGGGCGCCCGAGTTATCCGGGGTAACTCGGGTCCGGGGTATCTCGGGTTTGGGTTCCCGAAAAACGAGCCCGAGTGAACCCTGACCCGAGTTATCCCTGATGATTCGGGGCTCTGGACGCCCGAGATATCCGGGGTGACTCGGGTCCGGGATAACTCGGGTTCGGACTCCCGAAAAACGAACCCGAGTTATGCCTGAGCCGAATTACCCCGGATGATTCGGGGCTCTGAGTAGGGGAGCACGGAAGGTCTGGGCTGAACCACAGACGGCCGAGAGCCCCGACGTGAGAGAAAGGGACGCCAGCGACCAGGGATAGCGCCGGACGAGGTGGGAGCACCAAGGCCGGGGCGGTGGCGCGGACGGCCGACGGCCTCGTGGAAGAGGAGGTGAACCGCGACTTGAGCGGCAAGGCAGGGCCAGTGCGGTGAGGGACGACACCACCGACCAGCGGGGAGGCCGAAGGCTGCGGCTGAGGGGGATTTTTGTTTTGTCAACGGCCGCGGGCGGAAGCGCCGGCGGCGTGTCAAGTCGAAGCGGGGCGCGCCACAGACTAATTAACAGCAGAACTGGGGCACAGTACTGCCAGAGTGCGCATGCAAGAGGCCGAGGCAGATAAGGCAAGCTGAACGCGGGAAACAACAAACAGATCACTGATGGGGATACGCGAAGCGTCAACAACTTCACATCTCCAAAAAAGAGCCCCTATGTTGCCATTCATGTGGGCTTCCAGCTCTCTGACAGCCCAAAGCCAAGTGGACCGAAGGCCAACGAAGCAGAAGGTGAGCAGCTACACCATCCTCGGCCGCAGCAACAGCAAGCTGTCTATCTACACGCTGGAGCTCTTCCGAGGACGCCGAAGGGTGCGACGGCGCAGCAAATTTGGCAGACGCATTCGCACAGTTATAGGTTATAGCCTGAAAATGGGAACAGGTCACGGTCGTCCACCGCACTCTCCACCTTTCAACGAGCCTCCAATCAGTTGACCTTGCCGGAGGGGAGGTCGGGGCTGATGAGATGAGCACAGCCGGGGTAGAAACGCTTGTGGCTGCATTGTTGGGCCCAGGGCAACCTGCCACAATCACAATCCGACTGCACAGCTGGGGAAAATGCTCATCTGGGCGCGGAAAGACACCAACGACGAGCGAGAGTGTCGCGGGCCTCGGCTGCCCAAGCTCGAGCCCGAGCTGGAACCAACGCGTCCCCTAGGGGCGAAGCAAGCCTGGCACCGCAGCAATCTGGAACGAAGGGGGCCGCCAACAAAAACATCACTCGGGAAGAGCCCAGTGTCCAGGACCCGCTTCCTCCAGGAGGAGGAGGAGGAAGAAGAGGAGGAAGAGGAGGAGGTGGAGGAGGAGGAGGAGGAGGGGGAGTTGCAGGAGGAGGAGGAAGAGGAGGAGGAGCACAACACACGCCTCCTCCGTGGTGGAGCTTCTCGGGGCGCGTGCGTGACCGCCGATTCCACTGGGCCTCCCACGAGCCCCACGAAGACGGCCGCAGCCCCACGGGGAGCCGCGAGGCCTCGACGGGGCGTGCGTGCCTGCCGAGACCGCGGGGCCTCCCAGCAGAGCTCACGAACGTGGCGACTGTCACCTCCTCCTACTGCTGCAGCGATCTTCGTCCTCCTCCTCCTCCTCCTCCTACTCCTCCTCCTCCTCCTCCTCGCTCTCCTTGCTTTCTTCTTCCTCCTCCTCCTCCTCCTCCTCCTCCTCCTCCTCCTCCTCCTCCTCGTTTCAACTGTTGGGCATGTCTCAGCCCCCGCAAGAAGCCGCGAGGTCTCGACGGGGTGTGCGTGACTGCCGTTAGGTCGGGCACATGTCCTCCTACGGGCGGATCCTGGGCGAAACCTGCAACAAAAGACCTGAAACAGTCAAGAACAGTCCAAGAGCAGTTGCAAGCTCGTCCCCAGAGCACTCGTGAACTATTCTCGGACATCCCTCTCCTCTCGAGGCGCCGGCCCGACCTGCGACGGCCGAGCCCGCGGGGCCTCCCCCGGGAGGGAGCCCCACGAGCAGCGGCGCCTGGCCGCGCACATGCCGCAGCACACCCCCGCGGGAGGAGGAGCGAAGGCGAGAGGCCGCAGCACTCCGCCCCGAGGGGCGGAGCCCACGGGAGAGGCCGAGCCACCGCCGGGCCCCGCCACACCGCGGGCAGGGCGAGGCAGGGCAGGGAGGGGGGAGCCAGAGAGGGAAGAGCCGGGGGCAGGAGGGGGGGCGGGAGGGCAGCAGGGAGCAGGGAGCAGGGGGAGGAAGTGTAGGGAGGGAGGGGAGGACGTGGAGGAGGAGGCAGGAAGGGAGGGGCAAGAGGAGGGAGCAGGAGACACGATGACTCCAGGTTTGCAGGAGGCGGGACGCGGCGCAGGAGGGGGAGGGGGACGGAGGAGCGGAGACCGCAGGGCGCTGTGCAACACGAGGACCCAGCGCAGGGAGGGTGGGAACTACCGCAGAGGGGCTTGGGAAAAACCGAGCCTCGCGGCCAGAGCTCCCGACCGCCTGCTCGGGATCGGTGTCGCTCCGGCTCCATCTCGTTTCTGGTGGCCCTGGGGACCGATGGCGCACCCCGGGAGGCGCAGACGGAAAACCCCGATGGCGCACCCGGGGGGCCGATGGCACCCCGATGGCGCACTCCGGGAACGACGCCCGAACGGACAAGGACAGAAGTATCGCAGGAGATCTGGGTAGTGTGCCCACTGTGGTCGTACCCGAGACTTCTCGGACCTCTCCCGGGCTGCGCTCCGAGCAGGCACTCCGAGGCCAGCCCGGCCGTGGCGACGAGGGCGTCCCGGGAGGCCCAGAAGAGGGCGACGAAGCCCAGGCAAGGGCAGCGGCGTACGCACCTGCTCCTCCCCTGGCGAAGGTAGAGGCCTCCTGGATGTGGTCCGAGTGGATGGGGTCGGAGGATCGCGCCGCATCGCCACTGCATCGGCGATGCACTGGCGACGTCGGCTGTGCATCGGCGACGCCGGCGTGGAGAAAATCGGGCTCCACATCGAGCCGCATCGCCGATGCATCGCCGATGCGGCGTGATCCTCCGACCCCATCTGGGAGGCCCAGACGAAGGGCGGCGCGCGGCCTGGCATCATCTGGGCCATGCCGCCCCCTGGCGGCGGGCCGTCGCTGAAGCCGCCCCGGGACGGCGGCGGGGCGTCGGAGAAGCCCGTGGGCGGCGCGGCAGCGCCGCCGGGGGGCGGGCCGTCGCTGAAGCCGCCGCGGGGGGCGGGCTCGCCGCCGGAGGGGCCTCTGCTTCGGGGGGGGGGGGGGCCGGGCGGCGTGCGGTCGGAAGCTGCTGCTTGGCTAGAGTCCGCCTAGATGGGGTCCGAGTAGATGGGGTCGAAGGATCGCGCCGCATCGCCAATGCATCGCCGATGTATCGGCGATGCATCGGCGATGCATCGGCGATGCGTGTATGGGGAAGCACGGGCTCCACATCTAGTCGCATCGTCGATGCATCAGCGATGCATGTATGGGGAAACACGGGCTCCACATCTAGTCGCATCGTCGATGCATCAGCGATGCGGCGCGATCATCCGACCCCCTCTGCTGGGACGCCATCTGGGAGGCATCGATTAGCGCGTCTCGGCGGCGGTCCTGGCGACACGATGTGTACGAAAAAACGCCAAGGGTCTCAAAGTCAGTATCTCGGCATGGCCCGTGACTCATCGTCCACATAGTCCTCTCCGGCCGAAGGAGCTGTTTGGCGGCGCGCAAAAGAGGGTAGCGGGAGGGGGGGAAGGCTCCTTAGAGGGAGGCTGCTTCTAAGAAGGCGCTGGCCTCACATCTGCAGAGACGGCCCGCGCCGTCTGATGGGCAGGGGTGCTTCTGAGAAGCCTTCCCCGCTCCCCCATACCCCCCTCTGCGCGTGGCCGGATTGTGGTGGCAGGCCGCTGCAGGGGCGGTAGGCCGGCCCCCGCGCGGAAGCGCGGTGCGGCGTGAGCGGCTGGCGACTCACGAGCGGAGGGGGCTTTTTTGAAGGGGCCCTGAGCCACACAAGTAAATACACACAAATAAAAAGATTCCGCATGTTTTCCCCTGATTTTCTTGGTTTCTGTCTTCCCCCCCACTTCCCATATGTTCCCATATGTTTTTGGGGAGTCGACGATTCATTGTGTCTGTGTGTTTCTTTCCCTCCTGAGCTTTTCCTCTGGCCGACACGAATCTTAAGCGGGGCGCCGATGCACCGCGGCATCTGTGTTCGGGGATCTTCTGACCCGGGTCAATCCAGACCCGGGTCAGCAGGGAACCAAAACCTGCAATGCAGGAAAAAAAAAAAAAACAATGCAGGTCTTCGCAAACCCGGGTCGGCCAATATGTGCGGCCGCCTCGCGGCCACGAACGGCTCGCTAACCCGGGTCAGCCAGCGGGGGTCTTCGCAGGATCCTGCAGGATCTGGTGCCGTGGCTGACCCCCGTTTGCATTGACCCCCGTCTGAAGGCTCCCGATGTGTGGGCTCCGCTCGGAGCCGGCTGCGGCCTCGGCCACGCAGGGGCTCTCCCCGCCCGGCCCAGAGCTCCCAGGGGCGGCCCGAAGAGACAGGAGCCCCTCCTCGGCGGCAGGCGGCCCGTGCTGCAGCGTCTTGAGCGCAGCGTGCTTCCTCGCGGCGGCTTCCAGCGGGAGCGTCTTCGGAGATGTGCGCCGAGTCTTGTTGGTTTTGTTGAAGGGGCTCCAGGACACACACCTAAATACACACAAGTAAAAAGATTCCCCCTATGTTCCCATAGTTGCTGGGTGTCTGTCTTCCCCCCCCCATTTCCCATATGTTCCCCTATTTAACTAACAGCTTTTGCTGATAGGTTTCTAGTGGTCTCAAACGAGAGCAGCAGATGACTCCACAGGGGGGTCGGGGCGGGACCCGGGGCGGTGCCGCCGAAGCCGAAATCGCTTGGGACATCCTCGCAAAATCGCTCTTGGTGCTCCCAGAACTCCATTCCCGGGCCACATTTTGGATGCCCGGAGCCAACTGTAGGCCACTTCGTGCTCTTCGACTTCCCAGAACTCCATTCCCGGGCCACATTTTGGATCCCTGTAGGCCACATGCTCTTCGGGCCACATTTTGGATGCCCGGAGCCAACTGTAGGCCACTTCGTGCTCTTCAAGTTCCCAGAACTCCATTCCTGGGCATGATTTTGAATGCCCGGAGCCAACTGTAGGCCACTTCGTGTTCTTCTAGTTCCCAGAACTCCATTCCTGGGCCACATTTTGAATGCTGAGGCAGGCTGATGCTGCGGCCGAGGCAGGCTGAGGCTGAGGCAGGCTGAGGCTGAGGCCGAGGCTGAAGGCAGACTGAGGCTGAGGCTGAAGCAGACTGAGGCTGAGGCTGAGGCAGGCTGAGGCTGAGGCTGAAGCAGGCTGATGCTGAGGCAGGCTGAGGCTGAGGCTGAGGCTGATGCAGGCTGAGGCTGAGGCAGGCTGAGGCTGAGGCCGAGGCTGAAGGCAGACTGAGGCTGAGGCTGAAGCAGGCTGAGGCTGAGGCTGAGGCAGGCTGAGGCTGAGGCAGGCTGAGGCTGAGGCTGAGGCAGGCTGAGGCTGAGGCTGTGACTGCGACTGCCGTTGCCGCTGCGACTGTCATCGCGAATGCGACTACGACTGCGAGAACAGCAGAATTCTACAACTGGATTTTCATCTGAATCTTAAGGGGAATGCTTTCAGATATGCTTCTACACATCGCTGTTAGGTTGCTTTGCCGGGATAATTTCCTGGGGGTCGACGATCAATTGTGTCTGTGTGTGTTTTTCCCTCCTGAGACATGTGCGCCGTTTCTTGCAGGCTTCGTCGCCTGCGGGATGCTCTCCAGAACCTGCGCCTCGCCGAGAGCGCCCAGGGCGCCAGGGTCGTCCCGAACAGCCGCTGGAGACCCGAACCCCAGACCCCCGAGGACAGAATTACTTGGTCCCACAAAGTCGACCCCCAAAGGTCAGAGAGAACGCGTTTCGTGGACCCTCGACTGGAAAAAATGATCCTGGCAAAGCAACCTAACAGCGATGTGTATAAGCATATCTGGATGCATTCCCCTTAAGATTCAGGTGAGAATCCAGTTGTATAATTATGCTGTTCTCGCAGTCGCAGTCGCATTCGCAATGACAGTCGCAGTGGCAACGGCCTTAGGATCCAATGGAATCCTAAGGATTCCTAGGGATTCCTAAGGCATCCTGAGGCATCCTTAGGAATCCATCGGAATCCTTAGGAAACCTTAGGAATCCTGATTCCTAGGGATTCCTGGGGATTCCTAACCCTAAGGGTTCCGAAGGATTCGCCTGCCTCGGCCTCAGCCTCAGCCTGCCTCAGCCTCAGCCTGCCTCAGCCTCAGCCTGCCTCAGCCTCAGCCTCAGCCTGTCTCAGCCTCAGCCTGCCTCAGCATCAGCTCAGCCTCAGCCTCAGCCTGCTCAGCCTCAGCCTCAGCCTCAGCCTGCCTCAGCCTCAGCCTGCCTCGGCCTCAGCTTCAGCCTCAGCCTCAGCCACAGCCTCAGCCTCAGCGTCAGCCTCTCAGCCTCAGGCTGCATCAGCCTCAGCCTCAGCCTCAGCCTGCCTCAGCCTCAGCCTGCCTCGGCCTCAGCTTCAGCCTCAGCCTCAGCCACAGCCTCAGCCTCAGCGTCAGCCTCTCAGCCTCAGGCTGCATCAGCCTCAGCCTCAGCCTCAGCCTGCCTCAGCCTCAGCCTGCATCAGCCTCAGCCTCAGCCTGTCTCAGCCGCAGCTTGCCTCAGAATCAGCCACTGCCTCAGCCTCAGCCTGCCTCGGCCACAGCCTGCCTCGGCCTCAGCCTGCCTCAGCTCGGGCAGTCAAAATATGGCACAGGACTGGTGTTCTGGGAACACGAAGTTCACGAAGTTCACGAAGTGGCCCACAGTTGGCTCCGGGCAATCAAAATACACAGTTGGCTCCGGGCGACCAAAATATACTACAGGAATGATGTTCCGGGAACACGAAGAACACAAAGTGGCCTACAGTTGGCTCCGGGCATTCAAAATGTGGCCTGGGAATGGTGTTCTGGGAGCACGAAGAACACGAAGTGGCCTACAGTTGGCTCTGGGCATTCAAAGTGTAGCCTGGGAGTGGTGTTCACGAAGAACACGAAGTGGCCTACAGTTGGCTCTGGGCATTCAAAGTGTAGCCTGGGAGTGGTGTTCTGGGAACACGAAGAACACGAAGTGGCCTACAGTTGGCTCCGGGCATTCAAAATGTGGCCTGGGAATGGTGTTCTGGGAACACGAAGAACACGAAGTGGCCTACAGTTGGCTCCGGGTATTCAAAATGTGGCCTGGGAATGGTGTTCGGGGAATGGATTCGTAAGGATCTGTCCGGATCCCTTTTGTCCGGATCTTTCCGGATCCCGCCCAGACCCCCCTGGGGCGTCAAGATGCTCTCTTTTGATACCACAAGAAGCCTATCCGCAAAAGCTGTTAGTAAAAACACCGACAATCGAAAACAAGGTGTTACGAGAGATGGCATGGCGACCTTACGCGGCGGCCTACTACGCGGGCCGCCGGCGCGGCACGCTGCATTGGAGACGAGGGCGCTTACGCGCGAGCTTACGCAGGCACCTTACGTACGCGCCCACGTCGGCGCAGACGATCCCTGCATCGCTCACGTTGGTAGCAGGGGGGGGGGCACAAAAAACCTCGAGCGGCCCTGGAGAACTGGGGGGGGGGGCTAACCTGTGGGGCTCCCCGCCCTGTCTAAGTGGGGGTCGCCGTGGCCGTCACCATCGCCATCGCCGTCGCCGTCGCCGTCGTCGCCGTCGCCGTCGCCGTCGCCGTCGCCCGTCGCCGTGGCCGTGGCCGTGGCCGTGGCCGCGGTCGTCGTCGTCGCCGTCGCCGTCGCCGTCGCCGTCGCCGTTGCCGTCACCATCGCCATCGCCGTCACCGTCGCCGTCGTCGCCGTCTCTGTCGCCGTCGCCGTTGCCGTCGCCGTCGCCGTCGCCGTCGCCGTCGCCGTCGCCGACGTCGTCGCCGTCGCCGTCGCCGTCGCCGTCGCCGTCGCCGTCGCCGACGTCGTCGCCATCGCCGGCGCCGCCGCCGCCGCCGTCGCCGTAGTCGTCGCCGGCGCCGTCGCCGCCGCCGTCGCCGTCGCCGCCGCCGCCGTCGCCGGCGCCGTCGCCGTCGCCGTCGCCGTCCCGTCGCCGTCGCCGTCGCCGTCGCCGTCGCCGTCGCCGCCGCCGTCGCCGTCGCCGTCGCCGTCGCCGTCGCCGTCGCCGTCACCGTCGCCGTCGCCGTCGCCGTCGCCGTCGCCGTCGCCGTCGTCCCCCCGTGTCGAATGAGAGTCCCAGACCTGAAAAAATCGGCATCGAGCCCTCATCATGCCTGTCAGCGTCGTCCCTCCTCATGCCTGTCAGCGAGGGAAAAACCTCACAGTCCCGTAGTCGAATCGAAGGGAAGCCTCTTCCCGTTGATCCCTTCCCCGCGCTGGGGGGAAGGGGGTCCCGGGGGAGTCCCCGGGGGGGTCCCCACCCAAATACGTTCCCCCCCCCCCGAGGTCCCGGAATCCCCGCGCGGTCCCGGAAGCCCACAGAAGATATCCCCAGGAATTCTCCACGAGACTTCCCAGAGGCCCCCGGACTTCCAAGACTCTTCCACAGGGTGCCCAAGGGGGCCCCAAGATGCCTCCAAAGATACTCCCGAGAGGGCCCCAAGAGGGAAAAAATATTGATTTCCTTTAGGTTTTTAACAGATTTGGGCGTTCTCGCCTTTTCTGCTTCCCGCCGCCCCAAGACAGCCGAAGGGACCCTCAAGATCGCTCCAAGACGGCCCAAGAGGGTTCCAAGAGCGCTCCAAAACATCACAAGAGAACCCCAAGACAACCCAAAACGCCTCCAAGACGGCGGCTCCAAGAGCGCGCCTGGACGGGGAACCCGAACTGGCATTTCGAGCCCTGGGCCCCGAGAAGCTCCCAGGAGGCCCCAAGAGATTCCCGAGAGGCCCCAAGAAGCCCACATGAGGCCCCCAGGTCACCCGAAAAGGCCCCCAAGAGGCCCCAAGAGGCTCCCAAGAGACCCCCAAAATTCCTCCCCAGAGGCCCCCGAGAGAAGTCCCAGGAGACCCCGAGAAGCATTCCTGAGGACTCGGGCCCACGTCAGCGTCGTCCTCGTCGCCGCCGCCACCGCCGCCGCCGCCGTCGACGTCCCCCTGGCTGGAGGGTCGGCGGCACCGGCCGCAAGCCATTCGCAATAAATAGACACAGATCCCAGGATTGCTCATGTTTTCGTTTACTGTCTGGGCTTTCGTCGTGCCCTGCACTTCCCAGATTGTCCTATATTTTCCAGGGGATCGACGATGAATTGTATCTGTGTGTTCTTGTTCCCTCCTGAGTCTCCGACGTCGTGTTTTCCCAGATGACCTCAGAGAATCTTTCAGCCACGTCCCCACAGGGTCGCGTTTGCACACCGAGCCGATCTCTGAGCAGCCCTGGGGCCCAGCATAATAGGGCCCCCAGAGGCCGAAAGCAGCCAAAACCTCCCTCCGTGATGAGAGTCCTCCTACATGAAGGTCGAGAAGGAAGACGGAGTCGGAGGATCGCGCCATATCGCAGATGCATGATAGATCGGCGACGTCGACGCGGGGGAGATCGGGCTCCACATCGAGCCGCAACGCCGATACATCGGCGATGCGGCGCGATCCTCCGACCCCATATACTCAGACCCCAGTTGGGAAGCAGTGGTCTGTTCACGACGACAAGAGGTCTAAGCACTATGTAGCCACGGACGCCGAGAGACACCCCTCGCCCTGAGATGGGTGGTGGCCGCCTGTCTGCGGCGGCGGCGCCGGCGGCGGCGCGTCGCTGAAGCCGCCCGCCGCCTGCTGCGGAGCGGGGGGCGCGTCGCTGAAGCCGCCCGCGCGCCCCGTTCGCCGCGTGTCGCCGGCCCTGCTGCTGCTGGCATCCGGCGCCGACGGTGGGGGCGCTGGCGCCTGCGCGGCAGCTGGCGGCTGCCCTGGGGGCTGCATCTGCCCCTGCCCCGGGGGCTGCATCGGCGCCGCCCCCTGGCCCGGAGGCTGCATCGGCGCCGTCCCTGGGGGCTGCATCGGCGCCTGCCCCGGGGCCTGCAGCAGCGGCGCCTGGCCCGGGGCCTGCATCAGCGCCGGCATCTGCGGCAGCGGCGGCAGCGGCTGCAGCGCGACCGCGGGCAGCGCGCCCGGCGGCTGCATAGGCGGCGGCCCCGGCGGCCCCGGGGGCCCCGGCGAGCCCGGGGGCCCCGGGGGCCCCGAGGGCGGGCCCGGGGGGCCGGGCGGCGGGAACTGCAGGGGCGGCAGCGCCGGGGGCCCGGGAGGCTGCCCCTGCAGGCGGGGGCGCGGGCCGCCGGTCGCAGAGGGGCGGCGGGACCCTGCTCAGATCCACCGCCTCGCGCCTGGCCCATCCTGGGCCCTCGAGCGGCGTGGACGAGCTCCTCTCGTGGCCAAGGGTGCACTTGCCCTGCTCGGGGGCCCAGGGCGGGCCGGGCCTGGAGCAGCGGATGTGCACAGACTTCGCTGATCTCTCGCGGGGCCCGCCCTGTTTGCTCCCTCCCCTCCTCCGCCTCCGCCGCCTCCTGCTCTGAGATCCCTCGAAGGGGAAAGAGAGGAGGAGGAAGGCCCAGGCGGACATGCACAGCTGTCTTGCTCCAACAGGCCCCCTCTCGTCGTGAACAGAAGCGCGTCGTGAAACTGTTCGTCACCCTCTGCCTCAGAGGGCCCCCGCCGTGCACCCCTGAACCGTCAGAAACGGCTCAGGACACAGAACTGGTCGGCGTGGCCATAAAACAAAGCCACAACGACCGCGATCTGGGAATGCACGATGAGGACAGGCTCGAGTGAAGACTTGCATCGTGAATCTCGCAGAAGGCTGGCGATCCTGGACGCATCGTGCGCCTCAGGCCGTCCGAAGTCGTCGCATTTGTTGTCCACGACGCGAGGGGTGAAGGGGCCTCTGGGGGCCGCGTGGCGGCCGGGCGGGGCATGGGAGACAAGAGGGGAATGGAGGAGGAAGCTACAGGAAGGAATGCAGGAAAGAGGGATAAGGAAGGACGAAGTGCGGAGGAGGGCGAAGATTCGAGGGCGGGGCGCTGAATCCGCCCGCCCAAGCGACGCAGCCCTGCGCGTTACCCTGCCGACAGACGGCACGATTCACGGGGGCGCCTAAAAGCTCCATGTCCTTCATCCCGAGCGCTGTGGTGTTTCATCGCGCAGCCGTGCCCATCACCAGTCATTTGCATGCCGAGTCCACCGCCGAGTGGCCGACAGATCCACACTCCCCCTCTTGCCCGCGAGGTCCCGCACGACGGCCAGACCCTGCACGTCCGTGCAGAACTCCGGCAGGAGGACCAGGCCCAGGCCGAAGCAGCCCGCGAACACCGCCATCGGGTCTTCGTCGACCTCCTCCGGCACGCGGCCGTTGCCATCGACGACGACGGCCACCACCTCCAAAATTTGCACGACACCCTGCGCACGCTCTTTGATGTTTTCGGCCGCTGCACGGCGACCACTCCGTGTCTGCTCGCTCCTCGGCGTGGCGGCCTCGCCCAAGGTCTCGGCCACCTCCCGCGCCTTCATCACGTGAACGGCCTCGTGGACGCACACGTTCGACGGCACCTCCACTTTCCTCCCGAACTCCCTCAGGTCCTGTGCGATCACACCGCCATTCTCGGAGAATGGGGCGCGCAGGGTCTCCTCGTCGAGGCCGTCGGCCCAACGCACCGCGAGCTGAACCTCGGGCTTCCTGGCGAAATCCTCCGACGGCGCCTGTGTTGCTCCAAACTTTGATCGTGGGCAAACCAAACATCAATGCTCCTCCGTTCGTGCTTCCCCTTGTCCTCAAACATCCTGCATGGCCCGCGCCCACAACTGCATCTACAACCGAACACGTCCATTGAAACGGGTATTGTAAAATGGCCCTCGGTCGGCCTTTCAAGCACCGTGCGAGTCGTTTCATTGTGTTCCAATGGCCGAACGTCGGGAGCTGAATTCGTCTCTCAAGTTTTTTCGCTGTGCTCTGAATGTCCATCTGGCCTTGCACTGCGTACATTTTCTCATGCACCAATTTCTGATAGTTTCGTCCACATCTGGAGAAATTGGTTTGCGACCGAAACCAATTGTAACGACTCTTTGACACCAGGAGTGTAGCACGTGTTCGGTCGTTTCTGGATGCCAGCCTCTAACCAGGAGCTCAACGTGCCTCTGGTCAGATTGAAACTCAATACCATGCCCTGTCCACGACACAATCCTGCTGAGAATCGGGACGCTCGTACCGTCGCCGTCTTCTGGCGCAAGCGTCGCCTTGACTTTCAAAGGCCATCGATGATTTCAAAGGCCCCCCTTTCTCCAACCCATCCCACTTGTCTGAGCATGGGCTTGTCCTCCTCCTCCTCCTCCTCCTCCTCCTCCTCCTCCTCCTCCTCCTCCTCCTACATCCTACATCCTCCTCCTCCTCCTCCTCCTCCTCCTCCTCCTCCTCCTCCTCCCCCTCCTCCTCCTCCCCCTGCTGCAATTCGGAAACGTGTGATGGCGCCTGTGCGCACCTGGCCATCGCTCGGACGTCCATTCCCTGTGCTTTTTGTCGGTTTCGTGCGTGGTTTTCTCGTCGAACGTCCAAGGATGCGCCTCGATGGTCCTCGCCGAAGGAAAAGTGCACACGACCGAGCGATGCCTAGACACACGCACACCCGCCCCCCTCTGACCCCCGACGAGCAAAGGACGACGACAAACACCACCACGCCGACCCAGCGGGCGGCCGCGAGCCCCGCGCGCCTCCCTCCCCCTCCTCCTCCTCCTCCTCCTCCTCCTCCTCCTCATCCTCCTCCTTTTCCTCCTCCTCCTCCTCCTCCTCCTCCTCCTCCTCCTCCTCCTCCTCCTCCTCCTTCCCTCCTCTTCCTCATCCTCCCTCCGCCTCCTCCTTCCCTTCCTCCTCCTGCCCCATCCCTCTTCCTGAGCAACTCTTTCCTGTCACATCCCGAGGCCGGTCGAAAGGGCGCGCCAAGCAAAACATGATCCTTCAAGCTTCGGGTTTGCGGCAGCTTCACACATGGAGGGCGGGCCGTTTGCAACATGTTGGTCTCGCCTAGGCGTTGCGCACGATCGTCTTAGAAATGCGCGGCAATTTCTCTGACGGAGGGGCGATGTTTAAAAATGGTCTCGACTTAGCGCCGCGCACACTCATCATGGAAGGCGGGCCATTTTCAAAATGCACCTCTCGCCTGAACGCCGCGCACACTCGTCTCAAAAAGTCGCTGGAGTCTCACAGATGGCAGGCGGTCTCTTTTCAAAATGTAGCGATCCCTTTTCAAAATGTAGCTCTCGCCTGAACACCGTGCACATTCGGTCAATTGAATTGCAAACAGTTTCGCGGATGGTGGGCGGAGTCTTTTCAAAATGTGGTCCTCGCCTTAACGCTGGGCACGTCGCCTCAAGAGCTTACAATAGTTTCAAGGACTCTTGGTTCATGTACCAGGAATTGTTCATGGCACGGTGTCAGACTGTCAAGGCGAAACAGTTACGTTGATGCGCGGTCTTGAAGCCCTCGGAGTGGTTTTCTGGCACAATTCAAGATCGTCAAGACGAAACGGTAACGGTGATTCGCGGCGTTGAAGTACCGGGAATGGTGTTCTGACACAGGTCAAGATGTTGCAAAGGTTTTCTTCCAACGGAGCATTTCCTTCCGTGAATATAAATCCTTGTATAGGGTTTATATAGAAAGGGTTTATTGCAATATCGCTGATGAACCTTGGGTTTACACTGGTCCTCAACCTCCTCCTCCTCCTCCTGCTCCTCCTCCTCCTCATTCTCTTCCTCCTCCTCCTCCCTCCTCGCGGGGGGTGATGAGAGAGGGTGGCGTTCCTGCATCGGCGGCGGCCCCAACACGACGCCGGGGGGCGGCGCCGGGAAGTCCATGCCCGGCGGGCCCGGGCCCGTCATTGGCTGCAACACCTGGGCGCGACAGACTTGCACACCCGGGCGTCCCCAGGCAGGGAGGCGCAAGAGGAAACAGGTCCAACGCAATAAGACACAGCGACCATGCGCCGCGGCTTCCTCGGGCCGCCAGCGTGGTACGCCGCGTGGAGAAGGGGGCCTTCACCCACGGCATCACTCGATGAACTTGCGCGCGGATGTCCCCGCAATCGACCCCAGTTCTTTCCGTCGCGCAAATGTACAGTTCCACCAGAAGGCGCAACTCACGGGAGGTTAACGCAAGAACGGCTGAGGGCTGGCAGGCACCATGAGGAGGCTATGAAGCAGGATCCGGACGGCCCAAGCCCAGATAAGCCAAATGACGTCCGACTCATCGGGATTAGGCGCTGCTAGACAGGATTATGCTACGGATCGAGCTTCAGGGAGGCGACTGTACACACAAAGACCCTTCAGCAATCAGCTAGCAAACCCAATGCGCAAAGTCTGACCCCTCAAGAAGGCGAGGAGAAGCGAGGCGAAGCGAGGCGAAGCGAGGCGCACTGTGCCTGGCCAAAGAGGCCGACCCGCACGGGGCAAGGCGCGTGGGCCGCATTCCTCACACATCTCGTTCCTCTGCACGAGATCAGCTTCAAATGTTTTCCAGTCCACTGACCCCTTAAGAAGGGGAGGGAAAAAGCAAGCAAGCAAGTAGATTCGATTTCAAATACCAGCGAGCGAGCAAGCAAGCAATCAACGACGTATCTCCGACTCCCCTTGACGAAACGACTGAAACAACAGACCCGACTAAAACTCCGAACGAACATGCCGCATACAGGGCAGTTGTTAATGCATATGAGTTTTTAACATATAGGATGTTGAATGCATGACTCATGCATGAACAAATGTATGCATGAACTTATCGTTGTTTTTAATACTGAATCCCTGCATGTTTAATACATGATCTGCACGCGGAGCATGTATTAAAAACAGCACTGTACAGTGTTCCATTTCTCTTTCGGTACGCCCCCGCCGCCGGGCGCCCGCGCACAGCGCCGTGGCGGATAAACAAATGCCGAGCAATGCGTCAGTAAATCTCTGCTTCGGTGCGCCCTGGCCGCCGAGCGCCCGTGACGAGCAGCCCGCTCAAATTCTGCTTCGGTGCGCCCCCACCTCCAGAACCGCACGCGGAGCACGGCCCCGAACGGCGACGACGGGCAGCGCGTTCGCTCTCAACTTCGGTGCGCCCCCGCCGCCAGGCCCCCGCGCGGACCTCAGCCTCGGGGCCCCCAAAACGCCGCCGATGGCCTCGTGACGGCCTCGTGCAGACGCCGCGCCCGTGCGTCCGAGCACCTCCGCATGGCCCCCTGGAGCCGCCCAGGCCGCGAGGACCTCCCGGAGCCTCTCTCGGAGACCCGCAGAGGGGCTCCCCACGACGCCGCGGGGCCGCGCGGGGCCTCCCGAAAAACTCCGCAGAGCTCGCCGAGGCCGGCCCAGGCTCCTCTCGATGCCTGGGGCCCGGGGGGCGGTGGCAACTAAACCCTTCAGGAAGTGTTCTCCGCAGCCGCCGCGACGCCCCGCTGGGGCCTCGGGGGAGGTCGGGGGAGCCCCAGAGCGCCCCTTCAAGGTGCCGCCAGAGGACCCGCAGATGCAGCAAAGCCAAGGCCGTCAAAACAGCAAGCAAGCAAAAGGCTCGGACATCCTTACCCCCTTCCAGACAGAAGAAAAACAACAGGCGAGCAGACGCCGGGCCAGACCCTTGCACCTGAAAGCCTGAATCGCCTCCATGAGAATCAAACAAAACCAAGTATCCCAAGATAGACTTCCCCAACCATCCTGTGGTGTTGGGTCCTCGTTTTGAAGAGACAGTGCCCCGCGTCTCCACTCCTTCCTCCTCCCCCTTCCAAACCCTCTGCCCAAACCAGCCTCTGCCATTCGCACCCAACACAGCGCTTCGTGCCCCGATAGGGAGCTCCACCGAAGACCCAAGTGGTTATGACCCCATGCGTCCCGCGAAACCCAATACGGCGTTTCGTGGCACCATGGGGAATTCCACCGAAGGCCCTAATGGATGTGTCCACGTGCGTCCCGCGCCACCCAGTACGGCGTTTCGTTGCCCCATAGGGAACTCCGACGAAGGCCCCAGTGGCTGTGGCCACATGCGCCCCCCGCCACCCAGCACGACGCTTTGTTGCCCCATGGGGAGCTCCACCGAAGGCCCCAGTAGCTGTGACCACATGCGTCCCGCGCAACCCACTGCGGCATTTCGTGGCACCATAGGGAGCTCAACCGAAGGCCCCAGTGGATGTGTCCACGTGCGTCCCGCGCCACCCAGTACGACGCTGCGTGGCCCCACGGGGAGCTCAACCCAAACCCAAGTGGTTGTGACCCCATGCATCCAGAGCTACCCAGTACGACGCTGCGTGGCCCCATGGGGAGCTCCACCGAAGGCCCCAGTGGATGTGACCACATGCATCCCGCGCCACCCAGTACGGCGCTTCGTGGCCTCGGAAGGAGCTCCAGCGAAGGCCCCAGTGGATGTAACCGCATGCGTCCCGCGCCATTCAGTACGGCGCGTCGTGGCACCATAGAAAGCTCAACCGAAGACCCCAGTGGCTGTGACCACATGCGTCCCAGGCCACCCAGTACAGTACGGCGCTCCGTGGCCCCATAAGGAGGTCCACCGAAGGCCTCAGTGCCTGTGGACCACATGCACCCCGCGCCACCCAGTGCGGCGCTTTGTGGCCCCATGGGGAGCTCCACCGAAGGACCCAGTGGCTGTGACCACATGCGTCCCGCGCCACCCAGAACGGCGTTTCATGGCCCCGTAGGGAGCTCAACCGAAGGCCCCACTGGCTGTGACCAAATGCGCCCCCCGCCACACAGCACGACGCTTTATTGCCCCATGGGGAGCTCCACCAAAGGCGTCAGTGGCTATCACCACATGCGTCCCGAGCCACCCAATACGGTGTTTCGTGGCCCCAGGGGGAGTTCCACCGAAGGCCCCAGTGGATGTGTCCACGTGCGTCCCGCGCCACCCAGTACGGCGTTTCGTCGACCCATAGGGAGCTCCGACGAAGGCCCCTGTGGCTGTGACCAAATGCGTCGCAGGTCACCCTGCACGGCCCTCCGTGGCCCCATAAGGAGCTCCACCGAAGGCACAGTGGCTGTGACCACATGCGTCCGCGCCACCCTATACAGCGTGTCGTGGCCACATAAGGAGCTCCACCGAAGGCCCCAGTAGCTGTGACCACATGCGTCCCGCGCAACCCACTGCGGCGTTTCGTGGCACCATAGGGAGCTCAACCGAAGGCCCCAGTGGATGTGTCCCCGTGCGTCCCGCGCCACCCAGTACGGAGTTTCGTTGCCCCATAGGGAGCTCCGACGAAGGCCCCAGTGGCTGTGACCACATGCATCCCGCGCCACCCAGTACGACGCTGCGTGGCCCCATGGGGAGCTCCACCGAAGGCCCTAGTGACAGTGACCACATGCGTCCGCGCCTCCCAGTACAGCGCTTCGTGGACCAATGGGGAAATCCACAGAAGGCCCCAGTGGCTGTGATTTCATGCGCCTGCCCCCGCCCATGTCATCACACCCCTCACGCGGTTCGTGGCCCGATTCGGAGCTCCACCGAAGGCCCCAGCGGCGACGTTCGCATGCGTCACCACCGCTCATTTCGGCATACCCATCACGCGTTTCGTGGCCCTGCAGGGAGGGAACTCCACCGAAGGCGCCAGAGGCGACGTTCGCGTGGCGGCCCCGCTCCATTTCGCCACATCCCTCACACGTTTCGCGGCCCCACATGGAGCGCCACCGAAGGCCCCAATTGCTGCGCCGGCATGCGTACCCGCCCCATTTTACACGCCTCGTGGCCCCATAAGGAAATCCACCGAAGGCGATAGCCACAACGGCGATACTCCCAACTGCACATGGTTGGGCCCCTCGCCAGGACAATTGTTTTTGAGCCCGGGCGGTTTTCCGCGTCGTCGGCCCCTGTGAGCCGCCTGCGGGCCCCGGGGGGTCACCAAGAGCCTGGATCCGGGGCGCGAAACTGGCCCTGGGGAAGCGATCGGGACCTCCGGGGCCGCGGATGGACAAGAATCATACCGGCGGATCTCAGGGATTGTACAATCCAACCCAGTTTCGGAGCAGGGCCACGTGGAGACAACGGCTGCTCTCCCGGGTGGCCCAGATCCCGTCAGAATCCGTCCTGGGGCCCCTCCCAGGGCCATCCTGACTCATGCGTCGGGGCGGACCCAAAGGCCCCAACGATTGCAATCAAAAAAAAACAACAGAAAGACCGGTGCTGTTTCCACTGTCCCTTCTCCCTTCTCCCCGTAGGCCTCCGAGATGGGGTCCGACTAGATGGGGTCGGAGGATTGCGCCGCATCGCCGACAGATACCTCGGCGATACATCGACGATGCATCGGCGATGCCTCGATGCACCAGCGAAGCATCGTCGACGTCGGCGACGCATCGGCGACGTCGACGCGCAGCAAATCGGACCCCAAATCGACCCGCATCGGCGATGCATCGGCGATGCGGCGCGACATTCCAACCCCATCTACTCCGACCCCGTCTGGGAGGCCTAGATGTCCATCTCCTCCACTGATTTGTCCCTCCTCTCTGGGAGGGGAGTGAGGAGGACCGAGGTGAATCTGTGCAGCCGTCCTCGTCTGGCAATCCTCCTCCCGTCGAAATGAAAACACACATACACACACACACATTCACACGACACGCGGGTTCTCTCTTCATTTGCAGCCTCTGGGGGCCCTCGCCGGGCCCAGGGGCTGGCAAAAAAGAACAGCTCGGAATGCAAACACGGTCCCCGCGAAAGGGTTCCAGTAGAAGACGGCAAAACGCCACAACCATAGACTTGTGGCGCTCCGCGCGGATCTCTTCTTGGATCTGCGCTGACCCCCCCTCCCTGGCGCGCCGAGCGCGCCAGGGGCGGCGCTGGAGGCGCTGCCAGGGGACCCCAGCGCGGATCCAAGGAATTCGCGCGGAGCGCCAAAAGTTTATGCTTATGCCGTGTTCTCTTCTTCGGCCCGAGTCCAGACCCCTGGGGGCCCACGCGGTGGGGAAAGCACGACGTCGAACAGTCTGGGGACGCGCGCACCCAGGCGTCGGACGTGTTGAAAATACAAGGCACCAACTGTTCGTCGTCGTCGGCATCCACGGGCCAGTTGTGCACCAGGACCTTCAAGAGCTACTCTCAAAAAAAATACCCCCCCACAGAAAAGCAACAAAAACGCTGGGGAAACGGTCGGGACTCCCAGGGGCCGTGCAACGAGCGAAAAAACATACAGTGGATGCCGAGGTAGAAAGCAGGCGGGGTCACTAGAAAGGCCCGAGGGCGTTCATAGAATCCGCCAGGAGGGCGCTTCTGAAAAGCCCCCCTGCCGTCCAAGAAACCCCCCACCTTCTCTGGAGGCATCGCAAACTGTGCCCATGAAGCAGACGATCACACATCACCGCCGATGCATCGCGATGCACTGGCGACGTCGGAACGGAGAAAGTCGGAGTCCAAAACTCGGCGGTGGACAAACCTCCCTTTCGTAAACCTCCCTTCAGTGAAAACGGCCCTGGACCGAGACCGACGGACCTGGACCCGCAAAAACGACGGCCGCGACGCCCTCTCGCGAACCGAGAACGGCCAATTCGCCAATCGACGTGTCAGGGTATGAGGTATTTTCGCCTCCGAAAAGCTGCGCAACACCAGCGACGCATCTAGGGGGCCACATGCGAACCCTACCCCTACCCCCCTCGATTTCTGAGGGGGAGCGCTCTCGGCTCGGCGCGGCTGCTGGAGAGCCTCCCGAGGCGAGACGCAGGGCGACAAGATCTGCATTGAGGTCGGGCATGTCCTCCTGCAGGCGAATGTTGTACGAGAAATGAAAATTGTTCCGAGCAGAGATTCAAGGATGGCGGAGAAGACGAGAAAGATCGTCCCCGCTGCACATGCCTGGCCTATCCTGGGCCCAGGACCGGTGTAGCTGCGTCCCTGGCCAAGCCAGGAAGCGTACACACAGCCCCAGGTCCCACGAAGGGCCAGGCCGCTGGCAGTGGACATGTACCCATCGGTCGGAAAAAGAAGGTAGAAGCATGAAGTAGGAAGGCGTTGAAAGAAGATAAGGTGTCCGCCCGCCCCCTAAAGAGGACGGAAAAGGTGGAGCCACTCGATCACTAATGTAGGAAGGCGCTTTAAAGTAGATTAGAATCTGGCACTCCAGAAATACCTACTTTCAACGACCGATGGGTATAGAAATCGTCGTCGCCCTATGAGACGGAGAGCTCTCAAGGTCCGAGGACGCTTCCCGAGAGGCGAGGCTTGCTTGCGCTCGAGGCCCGAGAGCACCGGCAGCGCGCCGCCAGGGCAGGTCATCCCGGGCAGCCCGCCTTTAGAGGGCTCCCGATAGGCGGGGTCCGAGCAGATAGGGTCAGAGAGTCGCGCCGACGTCGCCGATGCTTCGGCGACGCATCGGCGATGCATCGGCCATGCATCGGCGATGTCGGCGTGGCGAACATCGGGCTCCTCATCGAGCTGCATCGCCGATGCATCGGCGAAGTGCGGTGCAATCCCCCCAACCTCGAAAGGTCTTTAATAAACCCTGGGGATGAACGACGAGGAGGGCGAGGAGGGGAAAGACGAATTGGGGGAGAACGAGAGGGGGTTTGCGATGAGGGGAGCACGAGAAGGAGTGCGAGGAAGGAGTGCGAGGAGGGCGAGTAGGAGAGAGACAAGCCAGGTGCGCAAACGTCTGATCTGAAGTCCTACCCCACCATCCCATCCCCTACCATGGCGTAGATATTCCTCTATTTGCACAGTCGCATGTCGTTGCATGGCATAGCCTTACATGGCACAGCATGGCGTTGAAGAAACAAAGCGTAGCTTGACAGCGCATGGCGTGGCACCGCGAGGTCAAGCACTGAATGTCATAGCATTGAAGCAGAAAGCGTGGCATCGTACAGCGAACACACAACATAGCATTGCATTGTATGCCTTGGCATGGCACTGGAAATGGGAAATGCGGCTAGCACTGCAGCGGGAACACGATTCTGAACGAGCAGAAGCGCGGAAATGAGGCCAGCGCGGCAGCAAGAACACGATTCGAAACAAACGGAAGCGCGGAGAGGAGGCCAGCGCGGCAGCAGGAGCACGATTCGGAACGAGCCACAGCGCGGGCCGGCGCTGCGGCGGGACCACGAGTCGGAACGAGCGGAAGCGCGGAGATGAGGCCAGCGCGGCAGCAGGAGCACGATTCGGAACGAGCGAAAGCGCGGCAATGAGGCCAACGCTGCGGCGGGAGCACGAGTTGGATCGAGCGAAAGCGCGGAGATGAGGCCAGCGCGGCAGCAGGAGCACGACTCGGGTCGAGCGGACGCCCCGAAAGGAGGCCAGCAGGGCAGCGGGAGCAACACTTTGGAAGAACCGAGAACGTTCGGATTCGAAGAACACGTACAACAATCCAACTCGCAGGCATCCGATGTGTAAGAACACCAGACGCGGAGGGGGGCGCGCTGCCTCATAGGGGTCCTCGGGGGGGGGGAGAGGAGAGTAGTACTCATATTGAGTAACCGTGGAGGGGAGGGACGACTGCTCCTCGCCGAGAGCTTGGGGGGGGGGCATCAGCATTGAAGACCTCTCGCGGTCACCCCATCTGCTCCCCAGGGAATCGACGTTAGGACCAACAAAAAAACAGAGCAAACCATCGGACAAAAACCACGATCAAAGCCAGAGAGACCACATGCTGCTGCACCGCTGTTTTCGACCCGCATCGAGCCGTGAGGGCTGGGGGCCCGAACCTGGGCGAGAACGCCCGTGGCAGCGCCAGGATTTCAAGGCCCGGCCCCAGACGCGCGACGCCCTGACTTTTGCAGCGGCCCCTGAAGTCAGTCCCGATCCTTAGAGGAACGAGAACTATGCACATACACCGATTCTGGCCAGGCCCATCCTGAGCCCAGGATCGGTGCATACGCCCTCCTGCCTTGGCCAGGAAGGTATATGCACCGATCCTGGGTCAAGGATGGACGTTGTCAGGATCGGTGCATGTGCATAGTTCTCGTCGCCCGAATCCTCTCCCCGGGGCAGGTTTTCCATCCTGAGTCGTTTTTTGACGGTCCCGGGGCCCGGCGAGGGCCCCCGACGGGCGAAGCCAGCGGCAGCAGCAAAAAGACAAAGCGCCTCCCCTCGCGATGGTTTGTCTCAAACGGCGCGATGCCGTCTGGGGCGCCCCCTTTGGGACCCCTCGGCCGCCGGGACCGGTCATGCCAGGCAGCCCGCCGGCCAGCCCGGGCAGCCCGCCCGGGCCCGTCATCGCCAGCGGCAGCGGGCCTGGGCCTGGGGAAGCCAAGAGGTGCCCGTGCCGCTACAGCAGAGGCCAGTCCACAAGAAACCCTCCACAGGAAGCCCAACCCCGAGGCCCCAGGACGTCCAGCGATCTTTGGTGTGGGAACGTCACGCCCTCCACCGCGAAACCATCGAGACCCAAGGTCAGCCCAGGGCACCCTGGAGGCAAGCAGGGTGTCTCTTGGCATGGGTCCCCGCTGTACTCCCCCGACCTTTCCCGGGGTGCCTTCTACTAGGACTCCCAGGCGAATCCAGCGCTGGCGACGAGGGCCTCCCAGGAGGCCCAACGAGGGGAAAACGGGCGAAGGGTAGCGGTATGGGCAATTACCCAGCCATGCGGCGTCCTGCTTTTTCCAGGACGGCGTCCCTGGAAGTCCCGACCCTCTCCCCCGGGACCGGTTCTTCGCCCCGAGTCTTGCGCTGACGGCCCCGAGAGGCCCGGCGAGGGCGCCCCGGGGCCGAACATATGTCCGAAAACCTCCCGCCCTGATTTCTGCCACGACGCGACCGTGTCCCTGGCCATCACTCGGACGTCCATCCCCTGTGCTTTTGTTCGGTCTCGCGCGTGGTTCTTTCTTCGTCGAATGATCAAGGCTGCTCTCCTCGATGGCCCTCGCCGAAGGAAACATGCACACGTCCGAGCGATGCCTAGCTCTGGGACCCTTTCCCTGCCCTGCGGGCCCGTCGTCCCCGGGACCGGTTCTTCGTCCTATCAGTCTTTCGCTGGCGGCCCCGATAGGCCTGGCGAGGGCGCCCCCGGGGCCGAAAATATATCCAGAAGCCTCCCGCCCCGAGCTCTGCCACGACGCGGCCGTGTCTGGGACCCTCCTCCTCCTCCTCCTCCTCCTCCTCCTCCTCCTCCTCCTCCTCCTCCTCCTCCTCCTACTACTACCCATCCAAATACTGATCCTCATCATCCCTACGACTATACGCCCTACCCCTGCATCATCAGCACGACTACTCTCATCCCATCCTAATACACATACCTCCTCCCCATCCTCCTCATCACTACTACTACGCATCCTTCCTAATCCCTCCCCCGCGACCTCAATCGCACCCTCCTCCCTCTCCATCCTCCTCCTCCTCCTCACTCCTCCTCCTCCTCCTCCTCCTCCTCCTCCTCCTCCTCCCTTTCCCTGCCCCGCGGGCCCGTCATCGCCATCGGCAGCGGGCCCGGGCCCGTCATCGGCAGCGGGCCCGTGCCCATCGGCGGCAGCGGCGAGAGCATCGGCGGGGCGCCTCGCTCGTGGGGGGTCCAGGGGAGGAGGAGGAGGAGGAGGAGGAGGAGGAGGAGGAGGAGGAGGAGGAGGGTGCGGCTCGGGGGGGGGGAGGCGGGCCTCGGAGGGGGGGAAGAGAGGCCTCCTAGAGTGACAGTCGGGGCGCTGACCTAAGGAACCCTCAATAGGGAACGAGGCCCCTTTTTTCCCACACGTTAAACTTCGATGTCCCATCGAAGACATAAGCAAAACCTGAGGCAAGCTGTGAAACAGTTAAGGAACGCGGAGCCCCTCCCCAACGAAAAGGGTTCCTTCTTCAGCGCCCCGACTGTAGGTCGGGCATGTCCTCCAACAGGCGAATCTTGGACGAACATCAAAAAACATGCAACAACAAGTCAAAGCACTTCTCCAGAGTGGTCAAAACACCGTCCCCAGAACATCCGCTTGGACAATGTGGGAACAATTCCCCGTGTGGAGGGACATGCCCGACATAATCCTCGACGGGGTCGGAATAGATGGGGTCGAAGGATCGCGCCGCATCGCCGATGCATCGCCGATGCATCGCCGATGCATCGGCGCCGCATCGACGATGCATCGGTGACGTCGGCGTGGGGAAACACGGGCTCCACATCGAGCCGCATCGTCGACGCATCGGCGACGCGGCCCGATCCACCGGCCCCATCTGCTCCGACCCCATCTGGGAGGTCGACGTTGTGACAAAATCAATTCGTCGGGGCGGAGAAGGAGGTCACGTTGTGAAAAATCACGACG